GAAAAGGGGCTGGGCAAATGATTTTTTTTTGTATAGCAGGCACTGTGTTCATCGTGGGGCAAGAGAGAAATTGCCCCTGCCTTCACAGATCTTACCATGAAGTAGGAAGACAGGCAAAAACATGAAATTACGCAAATAATTGCTTCCAATTGAGATCTCTGCTTCCAAGGAGAGGTGTGTACTCTGAGAGGTTGTAAGGGGGACAAAGCCTAGATGGGGGCATCTGGAGGATGAAAAGGAGGCAGCTAGGGAGAAAGGCAAGATAGAGAACTGCCCGTGAGCAAAAGGTGCCCAGGCCACCAGATGTGGGGCACACAGACACCTGCAGGGCCAGTATGTCAAGAGCAGAGGCAGAGGCGGAGCTTGCAGGGCTGGCCAGTGTCTCTTCTCTTTTGGCCTTATTTGCCTGCTTCTGGCAGTTTTCTTTTCATACTTATATGTATTGCCTCCAGTCTTGTCTGGTTCTTCTTCTGCATAGCTATGCCTGCCTTGTAATAGGAACTTGATAAAGAGGACTTGATGAAATCTGAGCCTTGCAGCGTGTCGGGGGTGGCGGAAAGGATGTCTTGGTGCCAGTGGGTTGGCCGACCTTGGACAAGACGGATGCCTTGCTCCTTGGTTAGGGATTTTCCCTCTGGAGTCAGATACATGTCAGTTTGAATTGTAACCCTGTGACTTTGGTCCAGTAACTTTATCTCTCAAAGTCCCAGTCACACTGGTGGAAAAATACAGATAATGCCTACCTTTATTTATTTGTAACATATGACAATGATGATATTTTTATACCTGTTCTAACTGCTTCACAGATACTAGCTCATTCAGTCCTTACAGTAACCCTGTGAAGCAGGTGCCATTATTATCCCGATTTTATAAACGAGAACACTGAGGCCCTGAGAGATTATGACACCGCTACTGTGTGTTAAAGCCAGGGTTCGGAAGGATGCAATCTGAATCTTGAATCTGCAGTCTCAACTACTTATATTTTGTTTATATTTTCACTCCGTGTGGTTTCTGGAATTGCTGGGATACCAAGTGTCTATAGTGACCAGGAGGGAAGGAAGTAAGATTTTTGTCCACAGGGAGCCTTATCTTTCTTGGCGTATCACTTAATATTTTCCTGTGACTCCAGGCCCCCAGGCTCCTAATGCCTGGACAAACAGCCCTTGATGATGGTCAGGCTGACAAGCTGCTGGCAGGACTGGCGCAGGATGCCAAGAGCCCCCTCCTCCCCAGGAGGACACCTCAGACGGCAGTGTCAGAAGAATGCTGGCTAAGCCCTGGCCACTCCTCACTGCTCATCTGACTACTCCGTCTACAGCACTGATCTGGAATGTGAGGAACAAAGCCATATGTGAGCTTTGTCAAGTGCTGAGTCTATTTCAGAAAAGACTGTGGAGAATGCATGAAAGCTGGTTGCTTATTGCACCATGATCCCTGAAGATTGGATCCAGTTCTGTGGAAGCTGGCAGAATAATGGGCCCAGACTGACCAGTGAGCTCACTGAGGGATGGCACTGTTGGCCCAGTGCTCATCTGCCAGGTCAGAGACAGGTGGGAGGCAAGAGAACTAATTAAATTGGCAGTGGACATTTTACCTCTAAAATGTAGGGCAAAAAAATAGCAAACAGGCCTTTTATGTAGAAGCTAATTATTAAAGGAAAGTAAAAATATTGGTGTATTAAAGAAATATGTGACTGGTTTAGAAAATCCTCAACAGATATTTATCCCAAGGAGGGAGATTTACAAAGCCAAATTTGCTCTTAATCCTTAATCTACAAAGCTGTGATCCCACAATTTCACCAGGAATAACTGACATGAATGCTAATTGGAACCCTCCCTTTTCGCTTCCTCCTTTTTATGTTCTTGGACACTGGCATTCCGGCATTCTCTCTAAGTTTGGGAGTCCTGGTCTATTTTCCCCCTTAGACAGTGATGTTTGAATACCACTACCCACCACTCTCTTTGGCATTCATAGTGTAAATGGTACTTTATGGGTTGAAAATTTGAATCCTGTCAGCAGCCCTCAGCTTTGCCATGCTTAGCAGGGCAAGGAAGAGGGAGAGGGAGATTCAGAGAGATGTACTGCACCCTGTTCATTCCAGAAGAGTGATAGATAATAACATTTTCAGGCAAAAAACAGCAGGAAATCTAACAGACAGGAATTAAGGCACCAAATGGGAAAGTCAGTTGCTTATTCCCTTCAAGTTTTGTATTTGAAGGAAATGTTATTTGATTTGGGAACTCCCTCATTTTCCCTTTCTTTTTTCTAGGGGGCAAGTGGAATAGTAGAATTAATTCTTTCTTCACAATCGTATTTTCCAGTCTCAGTGTGTATATGTGTGTGTGTGTGTGTGTAAATCCTCATTTAAACTTTTACTAATGTTTAACAAATGTGTATTTCTCAATTGTGTCAAAGCTCCATATAAGTAAAAGAAGGAATCTGTGGATTTTTTTTCTCGTGGTGTCTCTTGTCACCTCTAAAATGGACATAAACTAAGCGGTAAAATAACAATAATGGAACAACAACAACAACAACAAAATACTGCTTTTGTAGTGCTACCCATCTTATTTGTACTGTGTTTGATAGCTTTCCACTGCGTTTTCCTTGCATTTCACCAATATCACTAGTTGCTGTGGTATACCAGTCACAACAAAAATAATGAGCATCTCAGCCCCAGGCAAGCATGATTCAGCGTAATGCTTGCAATGGCCTTATGAGGGGGTGGCTGTCATTGTCCTCCTTTACCAATGAAGACACAGGCTTAGAGAGATTGAGTAATGTGTCCAAGGTCACCCAACTGAAACGTGATGGAGTCATATGAGATTTGATCTGAGGCTTACCTGATGCCAAGGCCTGACCAGGGAAAATGGTCATTCTTTAGGTGGCAGAAATGAGGTAGAGGACTTGTGAGGCCACCCATAGATGAAGAACGGATCCAGGCACAGAACTCTGGTCTTGTCAGTGCTCACAGCTGCTCTTCTTACCTTGCCAAGGCTAGGGAAAAAAAGCATATACTCACCAAACAAATTCATGCTACAGAGACTCTCTAGTCTCTTTCATAATGCAAAGGAAAAGGATTCTGGAATTCTAGACCAAGCTGATGGGTGTTTTCCTTGGATTGGGGATGTAGAGGGATTAACGAGGACAGGAGGCAGACCTTATCAGGGTGAAATAACATGAAAAAATGAGGATGAATTACTCTCTCTTCATCTACCACCCAACCTCTCAAATCAATTTCTTGCAAAATTAAGTAAATTCTTACTTCAAAAACTCAGATAGAGGATTTATCTTATTTGTTTCATGTTGTTTGATGAATCCAGGTGTTTTCTAAAGCAGAAGGCACTTAATGTATGTTCTTTATTTTTTTGTGCTGATTACCCTAGTTGGTGGATTTCCTTCCAGGATCAGCAGCCAATTCTCCACTAAAGTAGCATCACTGAATCTTAAGGTCTATTTACAATAGCAGAAATAGCAGTTACCCAATAAAAAAGTCGCTGGGCACAGTGGCTCACACCTGTAATCCCAGCACTTTGGGAGGCCAGGGCGGGCGGATCACTTGAGCCCAGGAGTTCAAGACCAGACTGATCAACATGGTGAAATTTCATCTATACTAAAAATACAAAATATGTGGTGACACGTGCCTGTATTCCCAGCTACTCCAGAGACTGAGGCGAGAGAAGCACTTGAGCCTGAGAGGTAGAGGTTGCAGTGAGTCAAGACTATGCCACTGTACTCCAGCCTGGGCGAAACAGTGAGACTCTGTCTCGAAGAAAAACGAACAAACAAAGTAAATCAAAATAGTTTCCACAGTGCAGGTTTAGCCTGCTGTCTAAAAACCGCCTGGGATTTACTGTATAGCCAAGCTGTGTGGACTCCATAGGAGACTCAGGATTAGCACCTTAGAGTCTTGACTGGGGTTTCTTCTTTAAACAAAGCTGTAGATTTAGCTACAATGCCATTTGTCTGTACTTCCTCCTGGATGGACACAGTGGATTCTGATTTGTAGTCATATTCAGCGAAAATAGCCAAATCTTTGTGAATACACTTTGATGTGAAATCTGTTTCTGAAGAGCCCAGAGCAAATTCCCATGTTAGGTAGAGGCAGATGGATGGAGGCAGAGTTAGCTCGCAATGAGTTAGAGGAATGTCAGCATCTCCTTGACTATACTGGTAGCTGGTGGAATAGAGTGTATTCCATATTCTAAATATAGAGTACAGTCAATCTAGACCCGAGAGAGAGGAAGGAGGGGCAGCAGGGGATATACTAACTAATGAACTTGAGATTTATAAGCATTATCAATCTTGAATTGAAAAAGTGAATCTCTTGAGGGAGTACTGGTGGCATTCCAAAAGCGAACCCAAGTATCCATCTAGTTTATAGCAAACCCAGGCACACAATTCCCTTAGACGGTGGAATTGAGATGGAAGATGTGCAAAATGATCAGATACCCTTCCTGCCTGGAGTGGAGCTCAGAATGAATTATCTGGGGTTAAGGGAGGAGTCAAGGGATGCAACGGTGGTCCTGGTGAGGCATTCCAAGGGCTTGGTGCGAGGATGCAGTAGGAGGTGACGGGATGTGAGTGGGTAAGAAGCAGGGCCCATAGAGACCCCACAGGGCTGGAAGGTAGTAGCAGGGTATTAATGGTGCTCTGTCCATGGTCAGGTGGTGCACCTTCCAGGGACATCACTGCTGTGGACATGTAGGCATTCAGCTTTCTGCTGGCAATGCAGATGTAACGGTGGTTTTCAATAGCTGGAATCCACACTGAATGAATATGTTGTGCGTGTTTATTTTTGTTTCATTTGGTTGGGTTTTCCTCAGTCCTCTGAAAGGTCTTGTCAAGAGTATTGCACACTCAGTGATGGCCATTAACAACAACAACAATAACACAGGTGACACTTACTGTACATTATAGGGCAGTTGTCACTGTGTCAATGGCCTTAACCGAATTACCTCATTTTACCATCACAGTGTACGATCATCACCCCCATTTTGTAGATAAGGAAGGCAAGACTCTTAGAGAGTCAGTAACTAATGCAAAGTCACACTGAAAAAAGTGACTGACTGCAGAGTGTGTTCACTCAGCTGCTAGGTCAGGCCTTTCCTCATTAACTTATTTAGAAAGGAATTTAAAATTTTTATTACCTAGTTTATAGTCTCAAGACATTATGTAAAGAAGTACCCTTGGGCCAATAGCCAGCATGGCATTGTGGTTAACTCCCTGACTTCATACCCTGGATCTATCACTGACTAACTGTGAAACCTTGATCTAGTCATTTAAGCTCTCTGTGCCTCAGTTTCTTCATCTGTGAAAGGGGTAGGGGTGATGTTAGTATGTACCCCATAGGGTCGGTATGAGGAGTAAATGAGGTAATATTTGTAAACCTCTTAAAATGATGTAGTCAGCACCATGTAAGGGTTTGATAAAGAAAAGCTAGTAGGACCAGTGGATTAAATCCAAGAGTGTCTGAGTTCCCGGCTAAGCTTTGGAATGGAGTGAGGCTGGCTGCAAAGGATGGGGCTGGCCTTGAGGTGGGATCATATGCGGCTGTTTCTTTGACTGTCAGTCTTCATTCTCAAATCTTCTCACTTGAACACCTTTTATTGGCACTAAATTTGTTTTAGGATAATGAACGCAGCTGTTCCAATTATGGTCCTCACCCCACTCACCTCCATGTTTCACCTCTCAAAGACAGCGCCTCTCCCTTGGGACTAGCTTTGAGCATGGTGAGGCCGGCATGCCCAGGGCTGAGGCTGGCACTTGGAGAGCCCTAGTGTCGGAGGGGTTAACACATTATCTGGGCATCCTCAAATAGTATGAGCCCATCAAATAAACAAACACACCAACTTGCAAATGAATAGAAACATGTTTATTGGAGTAGAGGAAAAACAGCTTTTTGGCACATTAACACTGTGGCATCAGGAGTGGCAGCTGCAGCCGGGGACAACAGGCAGTGGGGAGGAGACAGTAAATGTGCATTTTCAAAGTGCTTAGCATCAGGAGAGGGTATTTCCAAGCAAAGAGGTGTGTATGTGTGTGCATGTGTGTGTGTGCACGTGTGTGTGTGTGTGCATGTGTGTATGAGAGAGAGAGAGAGAGAGACCCATCAAAGCAGTACAGAAGACAGGAGGCAGTGGTAGTGTGCACATAAGACCTAGGAGGATGTGGGTTTGAATCCCGTCTCTTTCAGGAATTGGGTGGCCTTGGGCCCCTTACCTCTCTGAGAGTTTGCTTCTGCCTCCACACAATTCTTTTATAATCTGTCCTTGGCAGGCTTGTCAGTGAAGATCATATGAGATGACCTGTTTTAAGCATCTAGCACAGAACTAGGCACTCAGAAGCTGCTGGATAAATGCTACTCCTCGCTGTAGTTCTATGTTAGAATATTCCCACTTTTCCGTGGTTCCTGAGGAGGAAGGCAGTTGTCTGTTCAGGCAGAAAAGTATGAGGTATGGGGCAGGGGAAATTCTCATGAGCAGGTTTCAACTGAGAAATCATTCATTTTTGCAGTGGACAGACAAATTGGAAATGACAAACTCTTCCCATTGTAAAAGTAAGAATTGAAAGTGTTTATTTTTATTCAATAAATACCAAACCACGACTATAGTATACTTGTATTCCAATCTTTGATGATTTAAAAAGGGAAGAGAGAAAAAGGAGGGTGAAGGGAAGAGAGCGAGTGAATGGCTATGAGAAAGAGCACAAGACTACATCCTGAGTTCCTGCACATCACCTCCCACCCCCAAAATAGCAGCTCCACTTGTATACATTGATAAATTTTCAATGTAGCAGTTCATTGGCAGAGAGGAGTCCAATACCTAAAAATAGTTTGATAGCTCCTAGCATAGATCAGCTGCCATATCACCTGATATTTCTTCTTCCCCACTAAAATGTAAGCTCCCTGAAGGCAGAAATTAATAATGCATATAGGAGGTAATCTTTGATATTTAGGATAAGGCAATGAATACATGAATGAATAAATCAATGAATGAGTCAATCAATGATTGGAGAGACAAGGGGAATCAGACTCTCTTGGACTCAGGGAATGTTACATCTTTGAACATTAAAATTATGTTTCTGTCTTTTCTTGCTCTTCTCAACCCACCTTGCCTGACAGTTTGTTACATTGTCAAATTCTGTTATTTCTTCATTTAGCCTGCCCCATTTCACTGTGAGCCAAATTCTTACACCCACACAGATGATCCTCAACCTTTGTATGTTCAAGTCTTGCACAGTCCACAAATCCCCCAGCGCACTCCACGGAAATCACTTTGCAAACGCCAAACCTGGCCTTGTGTCCCGCCTTGATGAATGAGTCATCACGAGCCGTGCTGCCCACCAGACAGCTTCTTGGTTCCAGGGGTGCTGCCTGCTTTGTCCTATAGCGGTGTTAGTACAATTGTTTGAATATTTCACTGCATTCTTCCCCCACAGAAAAATGAAAGTGCTGATACCAGTGATAAGAAACATAGGTTTCATAAACTTAACACAATTGCGGCAAAGATGGAAATGATTTGGTGTGCAGAAAAGAGCAAATGTTTAGCCTCAATCAGGTGCTTATCATACTTGAGCTATCTGACTGTGTGCTCAGCTGTAAAGGAAAAGAAAAAAAGAAAGAGAACAGACACAATGCAGTAAATATTGTCAGAGATTAAGTCTAAAATGTTGTGTATTTTGGAATTTTTTTTTTTAGGTTTCTAGAAATGCAGATATAAATCTAGTTTGTTTTCACTCTCAGGCATGTTTGAGCAATGTGATGTGGTAGTGCAAAATGCAAAAACCTCTTCCCGGATTTTCTTGTCCTACTTTGTCAAATAGACTCAACTGTGTGTTTATATTTTCAAAAATTATAGTAATGTCCTTTCAGTTGCCTAGTTTTTAAGAAAACGTCTTTGAAAATAAATACTTGCCATTTTTCGTACTCTTCCCCACATGAGTGTCCACCGTGAGTCCCCTTTCGCCAAATACTTCATGTTCCTCTGCGTTGTGGTGCCCCTTCCTTTCCTCTCTACTTCTGCATCCTTTGCGCTTCCTCCTAAATCCTGTCTTCTCCTTCATGGTCTCTGGAGGGGACACTGCATATGCTTAATTCGTATAGGGTAATCACACAAACATAATAGACTCTAAAAAAACATTTTGGTTGGATTTTGAAGTGGGCCTACACTTTGCGTGTTTTTTTCTCAACATCTTTTTTCCCTTACTCAAAATATCCTGCAGCCAGAGGCTTCTCTCGCTGGCACTGTTGGTTGGTTGTTGGTTTGTTTTTGCCTTATCAGCTTCCTCTACCTCATTTCATGATCATTTTGACCTAAGACCATTGTCCCATGGCTTCTCATTTCCAAGATCTCTACTTGGGTCTTTTTTCACAACTCTGTGCTTGTCTCATAATTCCTAGTCTTGTTCATGACTGAAGTATTTTTTTATCTCTCTGTGGACATGAAACCTACATATAAAGTCCTATTCTCATTGCCCCGTTAGCTCTGATTCCTCTGATTTGAGTTGTCCTGTCTGTTGAGCCTTTTTTATTTTGTTTCTTTATTTGATGTTCATGGTGGCGTTCTTTGTGAAATGTTCGGTGATTCTGGATTGAACCCATCTCTGTAACACTGAACAAGCATTTGTCTGCTTATTGCCTGTCCTTTCATTCTGATGGAGGAAGTGGGTGGGAGGTACTGTTGCTGGAATGTGTGCTGATTTCGGTAAAAACGGGGAAGGTGTGGAATGCGCTATGGGCAGTGCGCTGGTCCTGACTGTGGTGAGTCCTTGATCCTCCCAATGTCACCGGCCTTGAGAACTCTGCCCTGCAAAGTGGATTCAATCTCCCTCCTCGCCTTAAGCCTTGCACTCCATGTCCTTTTTAGCCTTTCCAACTTCTCCCACTGCAATGAGATGACTAATGCTGTGTTGCTTCCAACCATCTCAAGACTTTCATTCCCCTCTTGGCATGGGCACTTGCCCTGGTTGCTTCTCTCTGCTTGCTATCATTCAGGGATTATTCAAGTTCCTATTCTTAGTATGTTTCTCTTCCCTTACTTTGTGTAGGTTTGGCTGGGGCAGGGAGTTCAGAAAGGAAGAGAAGATTGTAGCAAGCCACCTAGAACAGGAAGTCACCTTCTTCTCTGAGTCTGAGACATACTGACGTCCAGAACATCAGGAAACCGAGGATCACAGCACAGGGCCTGGATCTCTTGTTTGAACCTTGTTGTAGATGCACAACCTGTGCATTTCACACGTAGGAAGCAGGGGTGCGCAGTGGGTACTTGCTCTATATTAAATGAAATTAAGCCAATGTTTCCTGCAATGTGTGTGATAGATATTGTGGAAATGTGAAGTAGAGGAGGAGTGAGGGGGAATTCAGTGTGCTGGTGGTATCAAGCATGCAAACTCTGTTTAAGAACTCCTTTCACAAAAGTTTTAAAATTATCCTTTCTAGCTTAAAAAAATAACAGTATAGACAGAAAAGAACCCCCACTAGTGTGCTTTCTTTCTCCTTCCATTCCTGCCTCGAACATCCCTTCCTCCTCATAGCCTGGAAGCATCCTCTGGGCCTCCACCTTCCCTTTGGGTTATCCCCTGACCCTTGTCCAACACTTGCCTCTTTGTAGAGAGGAGCTTGTCGGACACGTGGGAATCACGGGCCGGGTAGTTCAGAAGCCTGGCAACCTAGATCCTTCTGATCCTCTTCTCCTCGTGGCCAGCCCCACTCATGGTCGCCTCTGAGAGTCTGGCCTCCACAAAGGCAGATGAAACGTGGAGACACATTTGCTGCCTCCAAGGAACAGTGCTTCAGATGTTTGCCTTTCCTCCAGTCATAGAACTGGAGAGCAGGGTGAGGCCTTAGGGACTGTCTGTTTACCGATTCACACACTCATTGTATTTTGAAATGAAGAAACGGACCCTAAACGCATCAAGTGACTTTCCCAACAAGTTTGTGGTACTGGCTGAACTCAAATTCAGATCCGAGGTTACCAGTCCTGTAAATGGAGAAACGGAACCTCACTACTCAAGCCAAGCTGATGTCTACCCAAAACCAAACATCCAAGTATGCATGGGGGTAGGTGCTTTGTGACTGGTTTCCATGGACTCCACTTCAGAGCCCTTCAAATCCTCCCCCTCTCTCCCACGCTGCAGCCATGAGCTCTGCCTCAGCCTCAGAGCCTGGTTTATTTCTTCAGGGTATTTACGTCAAGGATCCCCAGATTTGTTATTCAGTTCTTTCCCCCACTGATTCCCATCTCCATTCCTCAACCACACACCAAACTGCACCGTGCCTCATGGGCTCCCCTGATGCAATGGGTCCTCAGGAGCCCCTCCTGCAGCATTTTGAGGGAGGTGTCTATTTCTTCCAAATTAGAGACCCCCCTGTCCTCTGGACACCTGTAGCTCTCCAGGATGCACCAGCTTACTCTAGACAGGCTCATATCTTAAGCAGTGTGGACCCAGGAGGGGGATCTTCCCTCCACACGAGACATCGGCCCCAGGTTGAGTGGCAGAACGGCCTCTTCAGGCCAAAACCCAGGCTGCTGCCTCTCACAAAGACCACACTTTGGCATTAAACATCTTCCCAAAGTTACAATACATCCAGCCCCTGGGTAGTTTGTTCTAGATTCTTTCAACACTTAAGTGTCTTATTACAAGTCTCTTTCCTGTCAGGGAACGGGCAATGAAATGCTATAGGCAAGGGGTACTCTGTTTACCTGGTGCGTTCCAGGCTGAAGACAAGGAGACATTGTCCTCCAAAATCCTTTTTTTTTTTTTTTTTTTTTTTAAAGCAAGTCTGCGCTCGAGTAAAGCCTTCCTAAATTTTGATTGTTACTGCGCTATGAACAGAGGTTGTGTCCATATTTAATGGAACACAGCAGTGAGAGAAACTGGAATATTGGAACTGCTGTCCTCTGCTGATGAAAGGAGGTTGTAGATAACATTTTGCTGCTGGTAAACAGGCAAAATAAATACAGAAATATGGAGCCATGCAAAAAACATTCAACTCCGTCACATGTTGTTGGTGGAAACCGCTCACAGAAAATCAAACACAGACTTTGACTTCCAGTCACAGAAATAGTATGCTACATGGAATTTCTTTAGGATTTGCAATCTCTGTGCAGTTGCAGGCTCTGCTTGTGTTATCTTTTCATGAGGGTCTAGACCTGAGTTTGCAGAATGATTTAGAAATCAGTGTATTGCCTGCTTCATATAGTGTGATTATTCTTTTTTGATTTTACATGTCTACAAATGGTGTTAGTGGTCATAACTGCAAACTATTGCTATTTTTATTGGTCTAGAATGTGGATGTTTGTGTTAGAGCATCTGCAAAAGCAAACACTTTTGCTATGTTGAAAAAATAACGAAGATCTAAGTGATTTTAAGATGGCATTTTGTGAATGCATGCTAAAATGCTGCTAGATTTTTATTTGTTTTACTGTTAATGCTGCATTGAAGATATAGTAGCACTGCAGCACAATTTTTTTCTATTTCGTCTTTTCCTTTGTCCTTCAAAAAATACCCATTCTAGTTGCAATTTTTGTTCAAAAATCAAGATAGTCACGCATTAAGATAAGTTCAGTATCTAAGAAGTAAATAAATGTAAAAGTAAAGCATCTCATAGCAGTATCAGCTGTTTTGTGTCATACATAAATAATATTTTGCTTAGCATTAGCATACTTTTTGTGTACATTCTAATAGAATGGCCAATATATCAAAGTCATCTAAATGTCTTTATCGACACCTTAGGTATTACACTCACTGATGTTTAGCATCTTTCATATTGCAATTATAAAGATCCCTCAAATCCTGGCTGATAAATTATTTTAGGTTTCTTGTGAAGAAGGGTTGTGTTTAACTATTAATTTTCATACCAGCTTATACCTAATAGAGTGTGTGGCTAATGAATGTGTTGAATTAAATTGAGTTAGATTGAATCAAATTGAATTGAACAGAAATAAATTGAATTGTATTGAATGATAAACCGGAGAGGGATAATGCATGGTGATCTAATAGCATCTGATAATAACAGAACACTGAATTTATACGCCTAACTTAGGAGATATTTGATAACTCATGAGTGGGAAAATTGCCCTCCTCCTATGTTCCTGGGCATCCTTGCCAAATGGAGATGAATGTCACAGGAGACCTCAGGCAATTATACAGTTCAAGCATCTTCTGTATTTGTGTGGCAGGAAATTGTGCCAGAAGGGTTACAAACCTGCCTTATTATTCTGTATGTCACCAAGCAGGAGCTCCATTTTTTAAAGATTTTTAAAAACATTTTCTTTTGTTCAGTAGCAGCTGGCTGTGTGCGGGCACCTAGGAATAAGTGATGTGAGTGTGTGTGTGTGTGAGTGTGTGTGTGTGAGTGTGTGTGTGTGTGGACCAGATAGGGGGTATCATTTGCTAGTTTTAATTGGTAGATTCAACATCTTCCAGTAACCATGCGGAAACCACTGGCTGAGACGTTACCATGGTAAATCAAACTCCGGTGTGTGATTGGTAGACTTCTGAAGCAGGTACAGTCACTCTAATCAACTCCAGGAAAGTTGAGGCCATCTGGTTTTGCCTCACCTGGAAGTAATTTACCACCCCAGGTGCAAAAAATTTACCCTGAGGTCAGTAACAGTAAACCTGCCTCAAAGATATTCCAGCTGAGCATGGAAGAGGAGTGGTGTGACATAGTAATTTCTGTTTGTTTTTATGTTTTCAAGCTTGGGAAAGTGAGGGGGCTAATCATGCAAACCAGAGCCAAGAATAGATTTGGCAGGTGCTGACCCAGCTAGTTCCAGACAGCAAAGTGAAAACTCTTGAAGCTCATTCTACAGCACTGCTTTAATGTTCCAGTTCAGAATGTCTAACTAATTTAGATTTTATGAAAGGAACTTTGACTAAGCATCAAGTTGCTCAACAATAGGGCTGAAGAGACAGGCTTTTTTTTATTTGAGTAGTAAGGACTGAAATTGGGAATATTGACAAGGAGGGGAATCTTTCAACAAGGCTTCACTCTAAAAAAAAAAGTATTTTGGGCTGTAAACATTATGCATAGCTATTTAGTATCGTAGATATTCTTGTAATCAGACGGGATGTAGCCAGCCCTAACCAAAATGTAGACAGTGAGAAGACTTCAGAATCATTAGCTCTTTAGAATAATGTGTTGGGCTCGTATGACATTGATTTGTTTTGACTGCACTTGAAATGTGTGGTCTTTGCAAGTCAATAGAAATGAAGTCCTTTATTGAATAGGAAAAACTCCATAAAGTGAATTATACAAAGAAATGTAAGGCCAGGGTTCTCAGTCTCTTGTGTATCTGGGGGAGTGGATGCCAGGCAGGATGGGTTGGGATTTCAAAAGGAAAGCTCAGGGGCTTGGGAGAAAGGTCGGTGTTTTAGACTTTTTGGGCTCCTAGAGCAGAATACCATAGACTGGGTAGGTTAAAACAACAGACATCTCTTTTTCACAGCTCTGGAAGCTATGAAGTTCAAAATCCAGGTCCCGTCAGTTTATGTGTCTGGTGAGGGCCCTCCTCCTGGTTTGCGGACGGCTGGTCTTTTCCCTGTGTCCTCATGTGGCAGAAGGGGCAAGGGGACTCTCCTCTCCCTTTTGGGAGGCTCCATGAAGTCTCTGCTCTCCTGATTTACTTACCTCAAAAATGCTCCACCTCCAAATACCTGTGCATTGGGGATTAAATTTCAATGCATGAATTTGGGGGACACAAACATTTAACCTTTGGCAGTAGGTATAGCAAAGTCGGATTAAGGGACAGTCATGGAGAAGGCCATTTTGGAAACTGGGTTCTTCCAGAAGTGTGATAATCCCACAAGGCTGGAAATAGGAAGGCCCTGAAAAATCAGCTGGTGTGACTTCTCCATCTGTTAATGAGAGAGTGGAAGGCCAGAGAGTGGCCAAGGTCAATGTAGATAAGGAATAATCAAAAGAGTGGTGGATTCCAATTTTATGGTACCCCTGTTCAGAGATGCACTGAGCCAGCAGAGCCTGAAAAGCTACTGGAATCATGTGTCTCCCCACCCTCCAGTGCCCTAATTGTGCAGTTATTTCAGACTTAAACTTCAGTCATTTTACAACTTTAATACTGAGGTGGAAGGACTGAAGTGGAATTACTCTTTGTCCAGATTCTCTTTGTTCTTTGGCTCAAGAGCAGTAAGGAATAGACAGACGTGTCCTTCTTTCCCCTGCCTCGAGAGGGAACACAATTAGGAATCCTGGTATGTGAGTCTGTCTCCACTTCATCTCCTCTACAAAACGAGGCAGACATAGCACAGGTGATAAGCCAGCTCCTCTCTCCATCTTCACCCTCTCTAAGCTTTCAGTCAACTCTCCAGAGAGTTGGAATCTGTTAAAACTCACTTAACATGACCCACAAAGCAACACAAAGTTAAGGAGCAGGGTGCTGTGTCCTTTGGCATGTGGGTACCACACCAATCCCTCTAAAAGCTAACTCAACAAGGGAAATTGAGGAGGGAGATCATGTTGAGGAAGAGAGGAGGAGGCAGAAAAGCATAAGAAGGGGAAGTGAGAGAGAAAGGAAGGAGGAGGAAAGGAAGAAAGGTTATTTCTAAACCTTTCTTTTAGAAAGGGAAGAGTGAGTCTTTTGTGGGTTGCACACTCTCTTTGAGAATCTGATAAAAAATATCTTTCTTTCTCTGGAAAACAAAATGCATAGGATCACATACACATTGCAAATAATTTGGGGTTCAGAAGCCCATATATAGACTTGGGTAAGGAGATCTAATCTATCTGTCTACCTATCTATCTATCTCTCTGTACTAACAACTGCAATTTGGCAAAGTTACATACATATATGTGTATTTGTGTGTCAACGTGTACATAATTATTAAATTGCCATTAAGTTAGGTACAGGTTACATGCATGAAAATACAGCATATATGTCAAACACAATCCATCATTATCCAAAATGGTACAAGAGTGAATAATGGGAAAGAATTGAGCAAAGACATATTCAAGGTGACTATCAGCAATGAAGAGTTAATAGTGAGGCCTCCTACAATGGAGTGACTTCTTTAAGAGAAGGGATTTGAAGCCATGGGATTGAGAATGATATAAAATGAGCCTCACTAAAGCCCTAGATCACACAGTACAGGAAACAAACCTGAAAATAACCAGAGTAGCAGGCAGAGAAGACTACCTGACCTCCACTCTTTGAACCCCATGGTTCCAGTCCATTTAATTGTTCTTCAGGCTAACGACTTCACTTTCCATAGGGAAGGCAGTGTAAGTGACCACGGTCTGGGGTTATGGGTCAGAACATCATACCTCACTATTTTAAATGAATGAACATTTCAAACAACCACTGCATTTCATTGGTTTTCCTGAACATGATTCATTTTACCCGTGTTTCCTCATTTCTGTTCGGTCGTGAAATCCAGCGCAATATTATGGATGCATTGTCATACTGACAAGGATGTGTGTGTATACTAAAGTTCAAAGATCACGTTTGTCTCTGCTCTCACAGGAAGAGGTTAGGGGAATGGCACATTCCACTGGCTTGTCTGTGCACAGGAGTGCAGGGCATGTGACTCTTGGGGAAACTCCTACAGCTGGCTGTCTGGATTACCAGGAATCATGAAAGCAGGCTTAGTAAACATTGCGTGCATTCCCAGTCATTGAACATTGTGACATTTCATGACCAGCTCTCTCAGAAGAGATGCCAAGTTAGATGTCCTTTCTGGAACATCCCTGCATAATTAGGCTGTCCCCAACTGCTCACCACATACATGCAACATTTTCCTGCTGTTGAGTAGTCATTTGTGCTTGGCTAGTTTTCTGCCTCCTCAGATGTCGTCTCAGGGTAAAAAGGCACAGCATGTAGAATATGCTTCTTATAGCAGGGTTAACCAGGGCTTTCTCATCTCATTACTAGAATCTCCTGCACCAGATTCTACACTGACTCTCTTCTCACTTCATATCTTGTTCATATGATTGTTCATATCTTTCTACCACCAGATAATGATCTGGTTTAGAAGACAGATCTAGGTTACAGTATCTCATATTTTATAATTATTCTATGAATTAAAACTCATATCATAACGTTAGAAACCCTTGGCATGCCATTCAAGAACTTAAATTCTGATTGGAGCCTAACTTTTCTAGCCTGGTAGTGGAAAAACGAAAGATGATGAATCATGGGTTCTAATCCTGACTTTTTCTACTTGCTTACTTTCTGTTATTGGGTACTTGGTTAAGTTTAAAGAACTGTGTAGGCATGTGGCATACATTAGTTCATCATAACAATTGGGTAAATCAGGTGCTCTTATCTTTATTGCTTACATTAAACTCAGAAAGGTACAGAAACTTATCTGTGAGCATGTGGGCTTGCTTCATTTGAATTCACATCCATCTGATGCCAATAGCCATGCTATACAGCCTTTCTTTGTGTGTGCCTGTGCATCTTTGGTAAGTCTTTTTTTTTTTTTTTTTTCCTCCAATGTAAATTTGGATTGTGGGGAGTGTAGACTAGACCGGTTGTATTCAGTATTTTTAGTTCTCCATGTCTCCATGAAGCACAAATTGAAAATCACTAGAATACCTCTAAAATGATGCCTACTCTAACATTCTAATTTTATATCTTTGTCATTATCATCCACCTTCCATCCCTTTTCAGCACCATGAATCTCATGGTTCCTCCAATTGAACAGTGTCTTCTTCTCAGAACGTACTGGTCATTTCTGTGCCTCTACTTCTCCCACATGCTCTGCTCTCTGTGAATCTTTCTCAGTCTCCTCCACCTGAGGAACTGTTCCAAGGCTTTTGCACTTTGCTTACATCTTTATTGTTGTCAGCCAGCCCTGTATTAGAGCTAGCTGTATATTCTTCTGGACTCTTCTCTAGGTTGATTCATAAATTTTTATGATGGAGACTGATGACTTTATCATTTTAGTTTTCTGTAGGATCTGTGGTAGTTTCCCATGCTGCTGTAACAGATTACCACAAACTGGATGACTTAAAACAACCAGAAGTTTATTCTGTCACAGTTCTGGAGCCCAGAAGTCCAACTCAATTTCACTGGCCCCACATCAAAACATTGGCAGAGCCACAGTCCCTACAGGAGTGTAGGGGAGAATCTATTTCTCATCTCTTCTTTCTTCTGGTGGCTTCTGGTATTCTTTGGATTGATACGTTATCTCATTCTTCAAGGCCAACATTTTCAAATTTCTCTCTGATGCGTATTCACATTGCTTTCTCTTCTATATATGTTCAAATTTACTTCTTTCTTGCTCTGATATGAATTAATTGCATTGCATTTAGGACCCACTCAGATACTCCAGAGTAATCTCCCCATTGTAAGATCCTTAACTTAATTGCATCTGTAAATTGCCCCCACCCCAACCTCCCCCACCAAACACACACCATATAAGCTCATGTCCACAGATTCCAGGGATTAGGATGTAGACAGCTTTTGTGAAACATTTTTGTTTTTTTGAGACAGGGTCTTGCTCTGTCTCACAGGCAGGAGTGCAGTGGTACAATAACAGCTCACTGCAGCCTTGACCTCCGAGGCTCAAGAGATCCTCCTACCTCAGCCTCTTAAGTAGCTGGAACCATAGGCATGTGCCACCACACTCAGCTAATTTGGCTAATTTTTGTATTTTATAGGGTTTCACCATGTTGCCCATGCTGATCTTAAACTCCTGAGCTCAAACAATCTTCCTGCTCCCAAAGTGCTGGGATGACCAGGCATGAGCCACTGTACCCAGCCAGCTTTTGTGGAATATTTTTTAGCCTCTCACAGTGTGCCCAACCTTTGGCTTCCAAAGATTCTTGTCTGTCCCACATGCAAAATACATTTTCCCCATCCCAACATACCATCATATTTCAGCCTGTTACAGCATCAACTGACATCCAAAATCTTACCTAAATGTCATCAGCCCCAAAAGTCCCAAACTCAGCATCTAGATCAGGTATGGGTGGTATTGTGGATATGGTCCACCCCAAGGTAAAATTTCTGTTCGCCTGTTGACCTGTGAAACTAGAAGATGGGTTATCTGCTTCTAAAACTTAATGGTAGAATAAGCATAGAATAACAGTTGTAGACACTCCTATTTCAAAGGAGAGAAAATGGAAGGAAGAAAAGGTTACCCAGACCCAGGCACCTTCCAAATCCAGTAGAGCAAATTCCATGAAATGTGAGGCCTGGGAATAATCCCCTGAGGCTAATATCACTGCCCTCTGGGTCCATAGCTCTGCCTTCAGGCCTTGCAGTTCTGGACTCTGGTTCCAAAGCTCAGCCCTCACAGTCATCTTCCCTTTTCTCATGAAGGGTAGCACATGTTTGCCACTTTGTAGTTTTATGAGCTTATTTTCTTTCTACGGAATTTTGGGAGTCTAACAACCTTCTTTCATTTGGTCATGTCCCCAATCCTTTCAGTTTAAGCTGGACATGTTTCTACTGATGTAATATTCTCAAAAACCTGGTGATTCTCCTGTATGTGTCATAGGGATTCATATTATTAGACAAAAGGGTCCTCCACAGAATTTCTTAGATAATCTCATCTTTCTTTCTGACTTATGCTGATATCCATGCATATCTGAGGGTCATATACCCACTCTCTTTGGTTCTAGCAACAGGGTGTTCAGTCATATACTTGGCGTTCTCTCCATAGGACATTTTGTTAACAGTGGCTCTTCTAATTTTAGCATATTTTGCAATTTAAAGAAGCTGTTAATTTCTAAATCAAGGGTCTTTTTTGCATAACACTTCTGTCATCAATTATTCTACTTTTGCTCACATTTTACTATAAGCAGAAAAAAGAAACCAGGCTGCACCTTGAGTACTTTGCTTGGAAATCTCATCAGCTA